GAAATTGCTTACCTATGGTAGAGCAAAAGACAAATTTGAGGTAATTCAATTTGGCCAAGACGAGGAAAGTGTAGGCGAGTACGAGACAACCGACGTAACACATCAGAGTCTTGCCATAGAGATTTCTCAGTTCCGGGACGACGGCGTAGACGAGGAAAGTGGCGAAGAAGAACGGTATGGAGACGACGATGCCAACGTCAAAGTATTCCTCTCGATCGGGAGAGGAGCTGTTCGCTATGGACGAGTCGGGCCAACAAACCAGGGCGACCACCTTCTCGAAAGATTCCTTCCAGTCGAGGCAATAATGCCACGCCGCGAACGTGTGAGACACGGTTCTAAGAGTACCGTTCCCTTGCAGAACGAACGCGTCGTCCTTGAAACATTCCGGCTCCAGCATGGACCTTGACATATTTTCGGGACATTGCATATCCTCCACGACGACGAACAGCTCGCTCAGGCCGGATGCGAGCCCTTTTTTAATCTCGCTAGCCAGTTGATGCTGCTGAAGAACGAGATCCGGAGCGAGAGATCCGTCCGGCGGCCGGACGCAGTTGGGCCGAACGCCTTTCCCCAGGATCTCGTCCCCCTTGCAACACTTTCTCACGCACGTTCGCAGCTTGCACACGCATCCGTACGTCTCGTTTTCAAACGTTCGGTACGATCCAGCTGGATACACCAGCTTCTCGTACCTTAAACTCCCGTTCTCCAGCCTGTCGATCTTCGATCTATCGAAAGCAATCGCTGGCAACGGATGGCAAAACGAACTCTTTCTTCTCTCTCCACCGATCTCGGCTGACCGATCAATAAATATGAAAAAAACCAGCAAAGTCAAGCGAACGATCGTACAAAGACCGTGCCGCGTCTTTGCCAGCATCTTTCTTCTTTTCTTCTTTTCTTCTTTTCTATCTCTCCACTTTTCCTCCCCTCACGCGCGTACCTGATGATCTACTCTTTGTGATTCGTGATTCGTGATTCGTGATTCCTTCGCCAATTCCGTTCCTTCCCCGACTCGTTCCTCTCTCTCTCTCTCTCTCTCTCTCTCGGCGCCAATCGTTTTCAAACTCTTTGAAAAACCAGCATTTCTCAAACGACGCGTGATCGTGGATCAAGTTGTTCACGTCACCGATGGTGCGATGAATCGCAAAGCTCGCGACCGACTGCCCTCCGTATTTTTCGATCGTAACGCGCGAGCGCGCGCGCGCGCCCCGATGTGCTCTCCAACTAAAACCAAATACACCGCAATGTACCAAAGTGTGTGTATACCTAATGCTTACTTATTGTCAAATGCCGCCATTCCCACCCTACTATCGTCACCAAATATTCTATTATTATTCCATCTTTACTTTCGACTTTTTACTTTCTTTCTTTCTTTCTTTCTTTCACTTTCTCTCAGCTCACAGTTGCCGCCAGCAGCATCCAGCTCCGCCAATCTCACGGTATACGAGTATCTGCTCGTTCGAAAGAGTACGCTAAAGTGATCTGTTGATTACGCACGACGATTGCAACGTACAATTATTGTATCAATATACCATTATATTTGATCGTATTTCGCAAACACATTTCTGCTATCGCTACGCACCGAGAGCGAATTATTAACGCCGAGTGGCGAATTACGTCAAGCAGCCAGCCTCGGACGAGTCGTTCGGTCCCTTCGACCGAAAACTTTCGCGAAACTTTGAACAAACTTTTCTTCAGCAAGTGAACTTTCTTCGAAGTCCCGATCCGAATAAATCGGAATACGAAACGAACGAACGCGCAAATTCGGGTGGAAATTTCCCCTAATTTTACGTCGCAATCCGTCGTCGATAATCTTTAAACGTCCAACGTTTTTTAGAAAGAAAGGAAGCGTAAACGACGCTTCCTTTAAAAACTGTGACTAAACTCTGTACGTACTCCATTTCTTTGAATCGACGGTTGCAAAATAAAACCTAATTATTTCAATTTCCGATTGGCAATTTTACACGATTCTTTCTTAATTCTGTTACTTTCTCTCGTGCAACTCTCGAATATGTTTCCAAATATCTTCCAACAATCCTTTTCCTTTATTGCACATTTTCTTCATCTGTGATGCGCATACGTGATGACTGGTTGTTGTCGTGTACGATTGTATCGTCACGAAAGAAAATGCAAGACTTTAAGGGATTATTGACTCGTGTCATGTCACATATTTTACAAATAATAACGCCTTGCATGCGATTTATACGCCCGTATAAGATACATATATCATTAACGTTGAACTGTTGTGTAGAATTATTATTACAAATCACGATAAATTAGAGTTTATCGTACGTAATAGTAATACGTAAATA